TATCAAAAGATAGACCAAACATCGCTCTACAAAATGAGACATACCCAAGCCCTGTGCAACAACGCCTTCAGTTTTTATAGGAATTTTACAAACAGACCCCGACCGAGCCTGACCGAGCCCGAGCCCCGAGCCTAGGCTCGGTCGGGCTCGGTTTGTAAAATTCCTATAAAAACCGAAGGCATTATTGCACAGAACTTAGATATGTCTCATTTTGTAGAGCGATGTTTGGTCTATCTTTTGATAGGTTAGACCTCATGATTCAGTCTTTCATTTCAGAGCTCAAGATGTCAATATAAAAGTGTTCGAAAGTAATGAAAAAAAGCTCGGTACATGCCTACTCATGAGGAAACGTTTCTAAGTATCAAATTTTTTTTTGACTCAAAGATATGTGCATCATGTTCCTTGTCAATAAATAATTTCATTTGTTACTTTTCGAAGTTTTTAGTGATTACAGACAATTGAATTTTTCAACTGAAGACTCTTGAAAATTCTAGTTAAAGGAGGTGGATCGATAACTAATGAAATCGACTCCCCACAGAAATATAGTTTCTTTTGTGTCAAACATTCACTCAAAGCGTCCGACAGTGATCCGTAGTAGAATTAATGCTCTAACATTTATATGTACTGTGTTCCGACTGATTGAAATAGTCAATGACTGTTGTATATATTATAGTGGCCAATATTTTTTCATAAATGTTTTTTATGACATTTTGAAGCTGTTGAAAAACAGTTATTGAGCCATATGAATACTAATTTGATAAATAATCGGTTTGGTAGAAGAAAACAGTTGGCTATTCTGTACAGCTATTAATTATTTCAATCGGTGGGAATACAGCAAAAACAAGTGTTATTGAATTAATTCTAGCATGAATCACTTTGGGATATCTTGAGTGAGAGTTTGACATGAAAGAAAACATATTTCTATAGGGAACTAATTTCATCAGTTATCGATTCTCTTCCATTGTATATGTTTTTTTTGTGTCATAAAAGTAAACAACAAAGTTACTCTATTGACTAATAATTTGAATTTGTTTTCTTTTTATTGAAACACTAACATACTGATGAAATTTATTATTTGAAAAAGAAAACAATCGTGTTCTGTCATTTTCAAATGAGAGGACCATATTAAAAAAAAATATTTATAATGAAGTGACAATTGTTTTTTTTTTCTTACCAATTATCCAAACAATAAGAACAAGTCCAACAATTTCAAGATATTTTTTAACCATATGAATCAAATCACCTTCTGTTGATCCTAAGCCTATTTTAGCTTCAGGTATTTGTATTTTACGAAAACCGTATGAATCATTTGAATTTGATGATGATTTTTCATTAGAAGTTTTCGTCAATAAATTACCAGTTAATTTACCTTTTATATTCGATACCAAACTCTGCATAATATTTGATATCTAAAGTTGATTATAAAATATATAATCAAAAAATAAGAAATAAAAATGTAAAACAAGTTTTTATTTGATACATGAAACCAATAATCTTAGCATATGATTGTCTGTATAACGTAGTTTAATTTTGAGTCAACCTAAAACAATTACTTCTCATTCGAAAAATCTTCACAAACCTGTTGAGCTACTTCAACTTATTAATATTTATTCAAATCGATTGACTTTAGTCTGACGTCGATGATAACAGGTGTACATATTTCGTCTTATCTATGAGCCATAATAATATTAGTTACGTTTGACTAACAATAATTATGATCAATTTGCACAGTAAGATGAATTTATTTCGAATTAGAACGAAGAAAAAATTTTTATTTACGAAGAAATTAACGATAAAAGCAAGAGAGTTAGATGTGTAAGTCAACGATAGAGTCTGTGTTTCCGTCGTTCTAGAGAAAAAAAAGTATCTATGAAAGAGAACAAGCGTCTGTCGAGTCGCATGCATTATTATATTATATTGTATCTATAAACATACAAGGGTCGACTCGGTAATGGTAATAGGGCTCGTTATAAAGAAAAAGAATAGAAAAAAAAATATTGTAGGAAGAAAAAAAAAGAGAACGTTTTGGTTTGACTTTTTCATAGCTATGCAGCCATTGATTTCTTTTTTGCAGTTCATGTTCTTCTTATCGGTGTTCTTTCTATGATATACGTTGATGTTGCTTCGATTATCAGTGAAATAGATTATAGATCGATGATGGTGGGGGAAAATGCTTCTTGTTTTCTGTTCATACTTGACATAATATAAATTATTAATTTAGTAAAAGTATGTAAAAAGAAAAGAACATTCTGAAATTGAATTAGTTCAAAAAAGCAAAAAAAAAAATATATATATTTAATTTAAACTTCAACTAATTTTTATTACTTGTATAAAACGTTAACATCGATGAAATAGACTACTAGTTAACAAATAATAAGTTGATGATATAGATAGTTTACATAAGTAAATAAAATAGCCTTGAAAGGTATACATGAGAAACATCTATTATTTATTTATCTTTATTTAATGACGAACAGATACGTTTGTGGGTAGACCAACATAGTCGTTGACATGATTCGTCGCAATAATATACCTGACAAAAAAAAAATAAATTTATAAAGACAGTTTTTTTCTATCTTAAGATACGAACCGATTTGCATGCAGTGCAACGACGAGTAGCATTCAATTGACTACACGCGTCACATCGATTAGGAGCTTCATCTTCAAATGCATGTCCATTAAGCGTCGTAGTTAAGACAGATAGAGCGAATGGCTTTTGACCCTAAAAAATCAAAAAATTATTCACAATCATCGAAAATAAATGAACAATTAATCTAGATTAAATAGACAGGTATAAAGTTTATCTGATCTATCATTTTTATATGCAACAGAAAATAGTAAGATATTCTTTATATAGCAATGCATAAGACAATGAAGAAAAATAAAAACAAAAATATGCACGACCTTGATACTAGTTGAATAATATGTGACAAGAATATTATACAAAAAATATTTTCATGAAACTTACTAATGAAATTGGAGCGATAAGTCTGACAAGTTGCTGAAGAAGTGGACATTGTTTATAAGGAAAATTACGAATAGTTTCTCGAATGAACTTTTCTTCATATATTCGAAAACCATCATTTTCATTTCCATGTGCAAATCTATAATATACGTAATTAATCAAAAACTACAATCAAATATATATATATATATTTTTTTTTCTCATTACTTTTTTCGTAATTCACTACAAACTTTGTCAATATCATCTGTATTTTTTTCTAATAAAATATCAATTAATGCTTTTATATAATGTGATTTTATTGCAAGTGTATCATTTGGTTCATTTGTATGAAATGGATCTAATGATCGTTCAATTATTAATGAAAGTGTATTTGAAATTCGTTTGAGATTTGATTTTGTTTGATATAATTCTGGATATTTACAAATAAGATTGAGCAACTAAGTTATAGAAATAAATACAAAAAAATTATTTTTTCATAAATTATATATCAAATTTATAACTTCAACAGGAAATTTTATTTGAATTTACTTTTCATATGACAATCAATAAATGATCTATTGACTTTTCTACTCAGTCCTGTTTCGTTGACTAATTAAGATCCATTAGACAAAAAAATTCTCAATTGGTCAACAATTCAAGGTACAAATAATAGAGAATACCATGAATCACTCTACTTGTTTATCTATATTTAAGATAAGTTTATGATAAAATAGTAATATGCAATGAGAACCAAAATTATCCAATAATATTTATTTTCGATTTATTCCGCTATTGTCAGTGCTAGAAATAATCGAAATAATTTCCAAAAGAAACATAAAGAAATAAAACATATTATCAGATTGTCAAAAATGGAGACTGAAAGAAACCAAAAGGCTAATTTTCAGCACCTGGAAAGCATAAATATAATTCTATTTAGATTGTATAGAACGATAGAGTAAACTATTCTCTAGAAAATGAGATATTTCCGAATTCTTTACAACACTTTTTAGCTGAGATAAAACGATCTTACTGATGTATATAAAGTAGCTTCGTTTTTTTTACTATTTTCTATAGGAAAGTCTTTTTTAGACCTTCAAATCAAATTATTGTATCTCAGTTAAAAAACATCGCAAAAACTCTTCGAGGTCTCATTCTATGTGGTCTAAATAAAATTACATTCATTTACTCGAGATGATTAAAAACTAGAGTTTTGTTGTTGTACAGTCTTTATGTTTGAGAATCTGACAATTATTTTTATTTCTTTATATGATTTTTCGAAACCATATTCTCTTTTTGAATTCTTTCTAGTAACGGAAAAAAATTCATTTTATAAACTTTGTTCAATAATTTTGGTATTCACTATAAATGTTACGTTCAATATAATATAATATTTGATAAAAAGATCGAATAAATAAAAGACAGAGATACATAGTAATATAAAAAAATTGATTAGAATGTACTTTCAATTCTAAATTTGTTTTATTTATTTTTTTGTAATGCTTAAACAACGAAACAAATCTCTGAATCGCTTTCTATAAGACACTTCTGATGATTCATTTCTATAGTATCTTGTCACTTTCTAAAGAAAATGAATATTCATTATGTGCTTAATAAACTACATCTTGATTTGTCGACCAAATGATTAATTATTACATTACTGTCTATCATAGAAAGAAAAGGCTGTCGACAAAATGGGACAATTAGGGAAGTGTCGATGAAATGCAGATGGTACCATATGAAAAAAATGCTTTATAGGACAGTAAGAGATATGTTTCTTCGATTATAAATGAAAATAAATTAAGATAAATCTTTTCTTAGTTAAGTTTAATCATCTCTAAGACCATTAGTTCTAATATATATGTCAATAGTATCTAGATTATTATTAGAAAAAATATCAAAGACTCAAACATAGAAGCGAATATTGTCAAAATAATGAGATTAAAATTAGCAAATTCATTTTAATTGTGGGCATTAATAATTGATATATGATGAAAGTGCTAGAAGTCTTCTATGATCCTGTATAATTATATGTTAACTTTCACCTACTATCTTGAAAATTAATTAAATGCAATGAAGGCATGTTTACTATCAATTTTGTTATTATCTCGTCAATTAATTTTCAAATTTATTATCACTACAGAAATAGTTCTCTTTATTAAAAAAAAAACAACTTATTCGATATTGTGAGAGAACTTGAAATTCTCTATCATCTCACCTTTTTTTTTTAAATATAATTAAAATATGCTGGTAGAGTTTAGAATCTTCTATCATTGAGAGCTTTCGAAATAAAAAAATAGAAGGGATAATGTTAATATTGAGGATTTTACACTTTATTCTAAATATAGGATATGGCCAGACTGTATTAGATAATAGAGAATTAAGAAAAAATTTAGTACCAACTTATTTTCATAAGACTATTAATTTGCAAAAATGTATAAAAAATATTTAGATTTTTTATTATTTGTAAAATAAGGGTGGATCCAATGTACTCAATTTTTTGCCAACAAACAAAGACAAAAAAATAGAGAAATTCACAAGATGATATAAAAATCCCAGTGCTTTCAGAATATATTCTTGGAATTTTTCTAAGAGCAAATCTACTTTCTGTAGACATCAAATAATTTCTGTAATTGTATTTTGTACTTGAGAGTTATTTTTATTCTACACAATGATGCAAGAATACATAGTCTTGGTTAATCCCCTAAAGCATAACTGACAAAATAATCTTTTCAAGTGTTCTCTTCCGATTTCAATGTTTTTTTTTTCTCTATAGATGCCATGTAGTGTTCTAATAAAAACCTTAAAAGGATTTGGAAAGCTCTTCAAGGTATAAGACTTTCAAAATATGGCCTCTTTTCTATGGATACTGTATACAATATACATTTTTTTGAAAGTTTCATATCTTGAAGAGACTTGGTGCAAAACTTCTAAATTGATTTATAAAAGTTATTCTACTTAAATTCTCTATATGGACAAAATTTTACATTGAAATTAGAAAATACAAGTTCTTCGAAAACTTGGAATGTCTCGAAGATAGACATTATCTATAGACAAAAAAAATCACTAAAATCGAAAAGAAACGATTAAAGAGGTTTTCTCATCAGCCATTTTTTTCGAGTAAAGATCATTCTCAAGTGCTATATATATATTTATAGAACTTATTTAATATTTACAAGTAGTAGATTTTTTTTTCAGAAAAATAATATTTCTTTAAATCCTATCAAGATTTCCTTATAGTTCAATAGCCTAAAGTCACAGAAGAATTCTAAGCATATATTGTAGAAGAACACCAAATTCTGACTGTAGTACATTACATCTCATTCTTGTTCAGTGTATTTAAATATACAGTAAAATAGTCACTAAATAAATTATTGATTGATTAGCATATTAAAAAATAATTTCAACGTATGGTATAACTTCAAAACAACATATACATACATGAACAGGATTGAAATTAATTGTAATAAGTAAACGTTGAAAACCTTGCATACAAGATTCCGGTAATTTACCTTCTGTTTCTTGACCTGGAAATAAATTATTATATTTCCTTTTACTTAGATTCAATTAATTTATTCATGCAAAAAAAAAAGAAAAAAAATTTATATTCAACACTGACCTTGTGGAGTCGTATAATACTTCAAATCTTCAAGTGTTACATAATTATTTATTGTATCAACACATTGTTTTTGTCCAGTAAATGCAGCCAATTGAGCAGCTGTTCGATTAATACGATTTGTCTGATGAGGTTTAGCACCCGCTTCAAGAAGAATACGAACAACTTCATTATTACCTTAAAACAACAACAATAAAATTTGCTAATTCAACAAAAAAAAAACACAATAATATATCGGTACCTGAGAGAGCACCAAACATGAGAGCCGTATAACCTTGATCATGTTCGTGATCATTAACATCAGCACTATGTGCTAACAGAAGAGAACATATATTTGCATGTCCTTTAAATGCTGCATGTTGTAATGGTGTCATTCCATGCTAGAAGAAAAAGAAATGTTTTTTTGTTATTTTTGAATAAATAAATAAAAGTTATAAACCTCATCATGAACATCAACAGGAACATGATTTTTGAGTAAACGTTCAACATCTTCAAAACTACCTGAATAGATAAATAATTAAAAAAGAATTTCTTTTTGTAAAAAAAAAAAAAAAAAGAACTACTAACCTTCAGTAGCATAATTAATAATAGTTTTTTCACCAGTATCCAACGCCATATTAGAAACTAAGAATGGAATCTTTCTTCTTTAAGTATTAAATATTCATCTGGAATGAAAAAGGAAAAAACAAAATAAGAGAAAAAGATGGATTGTCAAAATAGAAGATAATCCAAAAGAGGTCACAAGTTGACAATGACAAGATAAAATACGATTAAATTGACTTTTAGTTTTAACATGGATTCAATTATAGATAGTAAGATTTTTAGATTAAAGCTTAATTTTACTTCAAAAAAAAAATATCTGTCAATATTTTCTTGCTGATCTTTAATCAATTAAATAAATTAGATCATATCACATTGGAAAAAAAAGTATTCATTAAAAAACCAAACATGTGACAGTTCAATTATTTCTTCATGACAAATAGTCAAGGCATTGGCTGTGATGATTAACATGAAGCTTGAAAATAATCATTAAATGCCTTTCTTTTTTCTATTCGCTAATAGGTGTCGAATTGAATGATTCAGCTGTTAAATAACGATTACTTCCAAATTCTTTTTTCTTTTTTTTTTTTATTATATTCTATGATAAAGAGAAGTTAATGATCAATACAAAATATCCTCTTGATAGTTCCGTTTAACCGTAGCATGAATACTTTAAGTACTAACATTTGTTTCCCACTTGAGATCCGAACAGATAACACAGCTAGCACAAAAAAATGAGTTCAAATTCTATTTATCTGCTCTCTGTTCATTCTCTATTTTCGAAGCGTCTGAAATTATACGCCATTGTTCAATATTAACATGTAATTTAAACTGCTTTCCATGAGAAGAACAACTATGTATAATAAATGTTATGAATGTATAGAGTGCGGACAAATCTTAGATGATCAACAATTACCTGGTCTTCACTAAAACCATAGTTGGAAAATGAATCATTACATATAATATAGCGTACTTGTAATAGTTTATTGGAGTTGACTGAAGTCTATATGGAGTCTAAACAGTTGTATCAGAATGCATAATCATTTTTTAATTGCAGCTTTGAGTATTATTATGCGAATGTATGTACTGATGTTAGACTTCTGGAAGTTTTTCACAACTTCATTAACTAACGTAACTTGCAGTACTAAAGAGAAAAAAAAGAAATTTTCTATTTTTTTAATTTAGATTCATATTGATTTTTCAATATATGAATTGAAACTCAGTGAAGAATTATTAATTGAATATCTATAAATTGGTTTTCTATTATGAACATTAAATGTTGCTGAAGAACAAAATGTTATAAGAATAAAAATATTTTGTGAAACACTACTCAAAAGAAGTATTAAAATATAGAATGAGAAATTCTTAACAACAACTTTTCTTCTCTACAAATGCTGATAGGAAACACATTATCCGATATGTTATTGGACAACGGCAGATGAGTCGCTTTAGAAGCGAGGTTCTTCAGTGATTTACGAACGTGACTTTTCAACATATAGGCATCTCTTTTTCGGCATATGAATGACACCAACACGCCATTGTTATCAAGACTTCATTGTTATAATAAAAAAAAACACTTAAGAATTATTGTGCAGAGATGTATCAGAAAGCTTTTACAGAAAACACAAGTTCTTTTATCTGCTGGTAATGTGTGCGAGAACTACGCATTAATTAGAATCTGCTATTAAAAAAGCAATCAAAGTATCAAAATTTTGATAATTCTTTGAAAAAAGACGCAATATAACTCTCCCTAATAAAATGTCCCTCGGAAAATCTCTTCTCCTGATCCATGTCAAAAAGACTTGAGCCTTCTAAGATACTACGTGCTCTTATATTGAGATAATATAAGAGCAATATGAAAAATTATATCCGTGAAAAATTCTTCGGCTAGAAATCATTTTCTCGTATGACAAAAATTCATAGCTGACAAATACATTGATACGAAAAATGAACCAAAGAAAAGTAAACCATATACACAAGCTGTGTGACACACAGTAATGAACGATTAGTATGTGTCTTTGTCCAGCATTAGAAAACTAGAATTCCGAAAATGTTAAAAATCAGAAAGTTTCCTGACTTTTCAGAATATCTACCAACTCTGATCGACACATTTGTTATATTATATTTACTTCTAATCTTTTCAATTTTATATACATATTATATTAAAAGAGAAATAAATTTTTAAATTAAAATATAACAGACAAAATACTTTACACAAAAAAAACAGACATTTATATATGATTTTTGTAATATGCAAAGCAATTTAGGTTTATGATACAAACTTTTCAGTTCTCATTCTCATATACATTTAATTAAGAATTATCGTTCTAATTCTAGGAAGATATGGACTTTTTCGTAACACTACTTATTTATGTATCTACTGAAAAAGTTGACAATAAAAGTAAAATATTGGCCTTGTTAATCGACTAATTATGTAAATGATGTATTATTATTTTCATCGCCTGATCTGTGATGATCTCTAGGTCTTAAAGTCAAATTTTAAATAACACGAAAGGAATGAAACCTGGTTCAATAAGATAATTGATCCGACAAACGTGTAAATTTCTATACAAAAAAAAAAAAAAAAAAATTTTCTGTAATGTATTGTACAGATAATAAGATCAAAAATAGTATGAAAACGGAAATAATAAAATTTAGCAAGTTATAAAAATCTAATAATATAAAATAAAATTTAAATTACCACTGGATATCAAAGAGATATATAACGAACAATTATTGGATTTCTTTTTTATGAATGAAAGTGTTGATTTCGTTTTACGATTTCTTCAACTAACAAATGTTTCTCAAACGAATATTTCACAAATAACATCTGTTTCTACATTTAAATTATTAATAAATGATCGAATCGTATTTGAGAAATAAAATGTTATCTTCTTTGAATCGATTTCTTTTCATCGAACAATTTCTCTAAAATCTTCATCAATTAAAGAATTGATTTCCAAAACTGACGGTCATATTGTTTAATTAACTAATCGATCGAGAAAATAATCATCAATGTCTGTATTTAATTGATTAGCATCTTTAAGATAAATATCATCAGATGAAATAACATTCGAAAAAGAATCTTTCAATGTTGAAAAATGATTAGATACATCATTTTTCTTGTAGGTGATATAGTCTAAATAAAATCATAAATAAGATACAGAAAAAAATCTTTTTTTTTTCTAAAACATTCAGCGTTCAAAATTTCGCTAGATCATCAATTATCCATGGTAAGGTTTCGATTTGTTTTTTTTTATTTCTGACCATGGCTGACAATTTTCGGAATGATGATGACTGTATCATTTATTATACATGTTCATCGTTTAAAAACAAATGTTATCTTTCTGCAGCGATTCGTACTATGAGAACAAAAGGGAGTCATAAGATCTTACTGGAAACTCACACTCATTATTTCACATTAGATTTACATATGTAAGTTCCGCAAAATGCTATTCATTCGCTCTTTATTTTTATAATTTTGATATAGATGACGAAATAGGAATATGCACTTCAAAAATTCTGTAAGCGATGCTTCTCTGTTGCGGAAAATCGATTCATATAACCGCAATCTGTTTCTAAACTTTTCTCACTTATGTTCTACAGAAGAACTTTTTATTTCTTTTTCTGGACTAAAGATCGAAATTCAAATCTGACTGCTAATAAAACATCAGCGCATTAATTAAAAACGTTCAATCCTCATAGCAATTCCAGTTGTATTTTGTAAGGATCAAAATAAAAAAAACTTTCATTATACAAAAAAAATATTAAAAACACACTGAAGACACAATACCAATGATACTTGAGAATTGTTCTAATGCAATGAATATTTGACTTAAGTGATGACGTTCATCCTACTATAAATAAGGATAATCTGGATTATATGAAAATTGTTGATATTCATGGCCGAGTTCGAATAAAGAACAGTATTTTCAATAGTGACATAGATCAGATAGAGCAAAAGAGTATATATATGTTGTGGTCAAAATTGAAATTCAGTCAAATTTTAATTTTGACTACAACATATATATAAATATTGACATAGATACATTAAAAAGAATTGTAAGTAAACATAAACATGGTACATTCATTTGATAGATCGATGGATTTACCTGATGAAATAAATTGGCCAATGTTGAAGTACTTTATTCTTTAATGGATATTAACACACGACTCAATCAAATTGTACAGGATTTCATAAATACTACTAAAATAACCTTAATGAAATCAACTAATTATACATTACTACTACCATGATAAAATGCTTCATCGATTTTGTTTGCAAATATTGCCAAAAATTCATCATAAGATAAAATAGCTCAATCTCGAATCAGCATCTATGCGACGTATTCTTCTTGCTGGTAACTATCCCAATTTACGTCAACTTGATATTTTTATCATACATAGGGAACTTGTTCTACATTTAATTGGTATGAAATCTTGTTCTATTTCTTTTACTTATCGACTAACAATGATATTAACTCACTTTTATTATATGGTATAAAGAAGAGATTAAGAAAAAAGTCTTTCTCAGTTCATTTGCTAATCGAAAAAATTCGATTAGAGATGTTCTAGGAAACACTTAACGGTCAATATTACTTTTATTATAGACAGAGAATAACCTATATCATATTCTTAAAAGCATAACGATAGTTTTTGACGAAAACGATTCGGAACTTGTAGTACGGATAAATCTATTCTTGTTCATTGAAAGCACCACAGCTGATAGAGTTAAAACTGAAAAGAAATTTTATTTATATTTTAGAGAAATCTTCTCTAGATTGTATCTTCCAAAATCAGATTGTAACACTGTTTGTGACTGGTAAGCAAGGCGATCATGATGTAATAATAATGAATAATCGAGCAAATCTATTTTCATATATTATGACTCTATTCACCAATATTCTTCATTTGAAATTCTATGAATCAACTGTACACGTTGTTTGTTAAACTTTTTTCATATATTTCCTCTCTGATCAACTATCAACAGTAAATTAAGCTATGCAAACAAGGAAAAAATATATTTCTTTTGAAAGACTAATGAATTTTTCTAGAATGAATTAACTAATCTGAGAT